ATAGTGAAATAAATAATCGTGAAACAAAAACAGTAGTTGGACATGAATTAGTAACTAGAAAATGGCAAGATATTAAAGTTGGTGATATCGTACGATTAGAAAATAATGAATTTATTACCGTAAGAAATTATGAAGATCACAATAAAATAGAAAAAGAAAAAGAAAAATATATTTATTTTAGGCTGATATTGTTCTTATATCGACTAGTGAACGGCATAGTTTGTGTTATATTGAAACAGCTGAATTAGATGGAGAAACAAATCTTAAAAAACGTGAAGCTTTACAAGAAACATGTGGTCTCGAAGATCATATCGATCAATTATCTAGTTTCGATGGTAGAAATATTAAGGTTAAAGTTTGTATAATTGAGTTTTTTTTCTTTATTTTTCAGTGGAAATTGAATGCGAAGTACCAAATAATAATCTTGGACGTTTTGAAGGAAATTTAACATCGAAAGAAAAAAAATTTTCATTAAATAATGGTAATATTCTTTTACGTGGAGCAAGACTAAAAAATACACAATGGGTTTTTTGGCGGTATGAGATAATTCAAAAAAAAATAGTTTGATAGTTTTGATTTTTCTTCTATTGATATTTTAAGTTGTTTGTTATGCTGGTTCAGATACAAAATTAATGAAAAACAGTGGCAAAGTGAAATTTAAACGAACTAAACTTGATCATTTGCTCAATCGAATCATTCTTAGTGTAAAAATATAGACTTTTTTCTGCTTTTTCTTTAAAACTAAAGCATTTCTTTGATATAGATTTTTCTATTCTTAATAATTATGTGTACGATAATGACAATCTGTAGTGGTTTTTGGGAATCTTTTATTGGTTATCATTTTCGTTTTTATGTACCATGGGAGACATATATATCTACTAATCAACAGATTTGTGCACTTGAAATAAGTTTATTAAATTTTTTATCATATGTTATTATAGTACACACTGTTGTGTCCATATCACTTTATGTCAGTCTAGAAATTATACGTTTGATACAATCGAAATGGATTGATTGGGATAATAAAATGTATTATGAACCAAATAATGTACAAGCACAAGCTCGAACAACAACATTNGGTCAAAATTAAAATTTCATCTAGCTGACAGGTCATTTTCATGAGTTGTTTTGTATGTTTTTCAAATATCATTAGTTTTAAAAGAATTTCGTCTTATACATTATCGAAGAAAAAGACGTGCCCGCTCCTCCTCTTTCGATTGGTGAAAACCGCAGGTAGCTAGGTATTGCGGTTGTCGAGTTATTGAGCTTACACTCACCCCTCTTTTATGCTGGCGCGGACATTAGTTCATGTAATTTACATTGGAGAAGATCAAATACTCACCACAGCGAAATTATTCATCTGTTTTGAGTTAATTATGTATACTTTTTATAGTTTCTTGAAATTAAGATACATATTCTTGCATGATATTAATTACACTTCTACTCATTTCGATGCCGTATAGGAATAATTTAAGAGAAATAGGCTCTGTAATGTTAATTGAGGAATACGGTTTTTTTTCAAAACTTTGATAAAATTTCGAGGTCTTAGTGATTGGAACAAAAAAAAGAGATTTCATGAATTCTCAGAGTACGTGCAAAATTATGCTAACTGAGAGTCTTTTTGATACCATTAAAATTTGTTGTAAGTCATCAATGGACTAATTCAATTTTTGAAGTAAATTCTGATAAGCTTTTTACTAAACGAATTTTTCCTCTTTAGTACAAGTATAGAAAATCAAGAAAAAGTCAGAAATGTCTATGAAGAAATTGAAAAAAAATTGAAATTAATTTGTGCTACAGCTATTGAAAATAAATTACAAGATGGTGTACCTCAATGTATTGAACGTTTAACATGTGCTGGTATTAAAATTTGAGTTTTAACTGGCGATAAACTTGGTAAATTGAATTTCTACTTTATATATATACTTATCTTTTAATTCTCTTTTGTTGCAATATTCTTTAAGAAACTGCTCATAATATTGGTTTATCATGTCGTTTATTAACAAATGATATGGAACTCTATGTTATTCAAGAGGAGAATGAAAACGATGTTGAAAAAAAATTACAAGAAGTTCGAAATGATATGATTAACAAAATTGAACAATTATTTTATGTTTATATTGAAGATAAAAGTAAAAGACTTAATTGGAAAGATTGGGGCATTGATGTTATGAAATTTAATCGATATAGAATATCTGATTATCAAAATAATAATAAAACACAACATCCAAATGTTCATGCCACAACAATCTTTCATACAAATCAATTAAATAGTGAAGAATTTTATGGTTTCGGTTTGTTAATTACAGGTGAAGCGTTGGCATTTGCATTGAGTAACAAATTAAAAATGAAATTTCTTGAAATTGGTACAATGTGTAAAGCTGTTGTTTGTTGTCGTGCAACCCCACTACAAAAAGCTCAAGTTGTTGATCTCGTTATGAAAAATGAAAGAAAAATTACTTTAGCAATTGGTGATGGTGCTAATGATGTATCAATGATACAAAGTAAAAACCATAGAAATATCTCGTTTTATATTGAAGAAGATAAAGATATATATATATATATGATATAATTTTCAGAGGCACATATTGATGTTGGTATTAGCGGGCAAGAAGGTCGACAAGCTGTACTAGCAAGTGATTATAGCTTGGGACAATTTCGCTTCCTTGAAATATTATTACTTGTTCATGGTCGTTGGTCATATTTACGGATTTGAAAATTTTTGCGCTATTTTTTCTATAAAAATTTTGCATTTACATTGTGCCATTTTTGGCTTGGTTTTTTTCAGGCTTTTCAGCACAAGTAAGTTGACAAGAAAAAAAAATCGCCAATAAACAAATATCTGATTTTCTTTTTATTAGACATTATATAATCCATTCTTCATAGCAACATACAATGTTTTCTTCACTTCATTACCTGTTCTAGTATTAGGTGTTTTTGATCAAGTAAGTTAAGCATTAATTTCGTCAGATTTTTTAATATCAAAAATCATTTATCAAGAATATCCAAGTAGAACATCGTATGTTTGATCTTTTGTTGTTTAAATATACAGTTTTCTGTCCACTCGAATGCTTTTATCTTTTGAATGTGTAATAAATGCATCATAGTCATAAAATAGAAAATTACATAATCTTAAAATGTCGATTCTATAAGTAGCGTTTTTCCTAACAAAATGTTAGATCTTTTGATCCCTACTTGTCAAAAAGATCTGTTTGAGTATTAAAACGCTGTGAATTTTCAGGATGGAACACTGTGGTCTTTTATTTAGGTATAAAAGAAAGCAAAGCGGAGAGTCAATGAATAGAATACAGTAAAAATATAAAAGAAAAAACTCAAGAGGGATGACTTGAGAAGGGTGTGGGCGTGGATGAATTGAAGACAAACACTCAAACCCACACCCACATCGTATATATGACCGCTTTGAACAAAATTTGTTTGATGAACGTGAAAACTCAGAAATGAAAAATAATGCATTAATTATCTCGTTGTTCATTTTATTCTTCGGTTATCGAATTCACTTAAACATATTTTAGTATATTTGTGTACTTGAATTAATAAAAGCAGTACTCAAATGACAACCATTCCGAAATTTCTTGATAAGTATATTCATTCAAAAACACGTATAGAGAAGAAATTGTTTCAAAGCAAACCATTCTAATCTATTTATCTTGAATTTATTATAGATTTACTTGAGCTGGTACAAGAATTTATATTTGATAAAATTTCATATTATACTATTACAAATAATCTATGCAAAACTTATTTCGTATTAATCAGTCAATACATATTTTCGATTAATATATTAATAGGAATTTATATGATAATAATATCGCTGCCTGTTGTAAAAATCTTATTTGTTGGATCAGTATGTTTAAACGTTATTTAGAGTGTTTATCATCACTGAATACTAAAAACAATTGTGTTTTATCTCTTCAGGATTACGTGAAACAAATTAACATATGAACAGGAAATATGACTAAAAATGATCTTCAAGAAATTGAAAATGACAAGAGTATTTGCTTGAAACATACATATTTTATTTTGAACAGATTACCAAGGCAATACAATAAATCGATGACATATGGAAATCATCTATGTCGAATAAACACAGAGAAACAGAAGTTAAATAAATGTAGTAAACAAAAATCAAGTGTCGCATCACGATCGACAAATTACCAATACAGCAGTAATGAATGCGAAACAAGTAATTTTTATTTTGAAAATGAAAGTTACCTTTATTTTTTCTTCTAACGCATCACGAATAATTTTATTTATTTATTAAGGGTAAGATTAATAAAGAAATATTGCTTATTACGCTCTCTGTATTCTATTATTTAACATTCATTCATTTATAATAATTTTTCAGTACAATATTATTATTGAAGATGATCTAGTATTTCATAGGTTACAGAAATGTTCAGCAGACAATTTATATTTCCTAATTATAAATCGTATTGATCAGGGTCTACAGTTTTGTGAATCAGTTTAAAATATAAAGAACTATTCATTGAATTCTATTATAGTGAAGTAAAATTACGTTATGTATGATTTAATAGTGTCACACAACAATGAACTGTTACAGTAGTTGAAAACGTCATTCATCGCAGAGTCACACTAAATTAATTAGATCGTTTGAGATCTCAACAATAAAGCACAATCTAAAATTTTATGTTTAAAAAAATCAATTATAAAAACTAAAGCTGACTATTAAAGTAATATCTGGATTATAATTTTCAATCAAAATCAAACAGTTATTATTATTTATGAGTGTGACTATGACGAGATTCACATCTGTGCCATTAATTCCTTATTCATATTGTGTAATTCCAACAAAACTAATAGCCAATAAATTGTTATTGTATTAAGAAAGAGCTTCATGTACATAAATAGACTAAGTTATTCAACATAGCCAGCCTTCCTCTTTATTTTGTTTCTTACAGAACGAGAAAGAAAACTACCTCATGTACTCAGTGTTACTACATGTATACCCTATATGTGATATAGTAAAGATTATGGCCGAGAACAGAACGTTTTGTTTCTTTTCCTTTCGATGCACGCAAAAACATGTATAAGATTGCCTTTTCCTTCTTTTAACTGGAAAAAAGTCAACAATGCTTGAAGAATCTTCTAACTTTTGCAAGGAACTTTAAAAAATAGAGACAAAATGTTGATATTTTCTTAGAAAAATATTCGATAGATGAAAAATAAGTAAGACTTCTAGAAGATCTGTGGATATCACAAAAAAAAAGATTACAGGAATATTATTGAATGCTTATTGATATGATCAGAAAGGTTTGATCTAAGCATTTTGTAATGTATAAAAAAATGTTAATCTGCTGCTACACTCTAGAAAAAAAAGGTTTTTTACCGAACCCCCAAATACGGGCCCGTAGATTTGAAAATGCTTGCAAATGCATTCAAATGCTTAAAAAACGATTTTTCAGTTCTACGAAACCTTTTTCCTGCGAAACCCTTTTTAAGTTCCGCATAGCAAAAATAGGTTTTGTAAAAAAAATACGAAACCTTTAAAGTTTCATATTAAATTTTACTGGTTTAGTACGAAACCATTAGTGTTTAGTAAAAAGCCGTTAGAATTTAATACGAATCCTTAAAGGTTTCGTAGAACTGAAAAATCGTTTTTTGAGCATTTGAATGCATTTTCAAGCTTTTTCAAATCTACGAAACCTTTTTCGGGGGTTCGGTAAAAAATCTTTGTTTTTAGAGTGTACTCAATATCAATTTCGCAACAGTATTCTGACACAACAAACAGACATAGGCTTTCATCAAGGAACTAGTTATAATATACGAATATGCGCTGTATATACTAATTATAATCGTTATTTATGATAACAGGAAGAGGCAAAAAGCAGAATTTCTCTTACGAGTCCAAGGTTCTTGTCTTAGATATGGTCGCAGAAAAAAATACAAGTCAAAAGCGGATGACAGTACCCAAACATGTTGCTTGTTTACATGGATAGAGCTCGTACTTTGTACGAAGACAATATAAGAAAATTTCTCATTGTTCTACCAGTGGACTATGATATCACTGAAAATTCGATTTTCTCGATTTTGAAAGATAAAGTAAAGGCTATAACATATCGTCTTCTACGATCACGTAAGTTGTGAAAGTCTCTCTTAACGAGTTCGACTAGTAGTTTTACTTGTAGATCGTTACTTTTAAGCAAGGTCGTCATTGAAATTTTCCAGTTTCACATCAAAAATCATGTATTACAGATTTTTAGTTAATTCTTCACTGTTAAAAATCTGGTTAGTAAAAGTTTCAATGTTTTCGAAAAAGTCTTAATTATTGAATGATTTCATAATTTGGAGAAATGTTTGTTTTTTCATAGATTAGAATTTCAATCTGATTTTCTGAAAAAAAATACTTCTGAACGAATCAAGTAATTCATAATAGTTGTTAAAGATGTTTAAACATTGTTTCGTATTTGGTAGAAAATTCACCTAGATTCTTCAAAAAAGAAAACATCTATATTAGTTTTTAGAAAATCAATTACTCCATATAATGAAAACAGAGAAAAACCGGTATTTTTAGCGGTCCGGTGACCGGGTCCTTTACAACATAAAAGCCGGTTGGTTTCTTCGGTTAACCACAAAAAGACGCGTTTTTTTTGACATGAAGCAAAATAGCGATTGTGAAATTGTTTCTTTGTCACATATATAAGTTACCCGATGATGTTGAGAATTTTTTTTTTCTTTGATATGTACAACTACGATACGATGCAATGAAAAACCAATTGGTGTTAATACTAAGCCGAAGAGAGTGTTACAGCCTTTGTAGATTTTGTCAAATAGATATTCTTTTTATATGACGAAAAGAAAAATCTCTTTTATTTTAAGAAAAACGCAACTATATACAGGGTTGTGCATAACCTTTTGCTAGGGGGGTAGCGTCATTATTTCAAGTTGAATACCTAATGAATTTTATACCAAATTAAAGAGCGTCGAAAACTGGATTTATTAGTACTAAATAGTAAGAGTTATCAAAATATGTTAATGTGGAACTTACGAAATTTTCGGAATTTTATGCTTTTTTTACCATAGAAAATTAAGGCGCCAGNCCACACCCACACACCCATCCACACCCGAACCCACACCCATCCACACCCACACCCATCCACACCCACACCCACACCCACACCCCATCCCACACCCACACCCGCACCCACATCCCACACCCTAATCATGAAAATCACCTTTATATTGACTGATTCACTTGAAATTTCATTTTCAATATATTCATAGATTCAGGAATGTTTCCTAAAAGTTTCAGTATTATAGCTTGTACTAAACTCGAAATACGACGATATAATATTCTTGTAACCGCATATCTCGCCAAACGTTTATATCTCAATGAATTCAGTTGTTCTTTCTACCCAGCATTGTACACATTAGGAGCTATATGTATCACCAGAAAAATCTCCTATGAATCATCTACATATGGAATAATATCATTTTTTTCTGCATCCGATAAATGGAACAGATAACAACATGAGATAATAGGAAAATATTTTCAGTTACGATTTTTCATCATCTTGATTGAATATGAGAGATTTAGTTTTAGAATCAACATTTGTGAGTATCACAAACGTTATTAATATCAATTCAACTTCTCTGAATCACTATAAGAGTGAATCCTGAAAGATCTATCAATACTCTATATGTATATATCAGAAAATTTCTTCTATTAACCGGATGGTTGCGTATTTTTTTGAATATTAGTGAAATTAGATATATACGAAGGACAATATTTACAAACAGAAAGCGTAAGATTTGATATAGAAAAAAATGATATTATGCCATATCTAAATAATTTATAGGAGATTTTTCTGGTGATACATATAGCTCCTAATGTATATAATGCTAGGTAGAAAGAACAACTGGATTCATTAAGATGTAAACGTTTGGCGAGATATGTGGTTACGAGAATATTATATCGTCGTATTTTCGAGTTTAGTACAAGCTATAATACTGAAACTTTCAGAAAAAAAATTCTGAATCCATGAATATGTTGAGAAAAATTTTTCAAGTGAATTGGTTAATATAAAAGTGATTTTCATTATTGCGAAATGAAAATCATCATAATTGTGATTCGGTCGATACCCGTTAACAGGCTGATATCTCAGCAACCCGAAGGACTTTTCTAATGCAAATTTTACCGAAGAAAGCTGAAGACTCAAGCGTTTGAATGCTTGGTTTTTCGATCTCCAAAATGGTTGTATGACTAAGATACAATCAATGTAAGATAACGATAGTGTTTGGTGTATAACTCGATTCTAATACGTTGAATTGATGTCGGGTTGGTGTCTATGATCAACATTTGTTAGTTCTCACATGCGGCCAAAATCTCAAACTGAAAGCTTGAAATATTGATAAAGTTCAGGGGGGTGAGGGACTTATAGCCAGGACTGCAGAAGCACACAGAGCAATGGCTAGAAACTATGACATATATAAATTATTTCTCAAAACCTTTTCTATATAACATTTTCATAGAACGTCCTTCAAAGAATAATAACCTGCTAGTTGAAACAAGTTCTACTCTTTGCACTGAACAACGAACAAAAACGCAGTGAGCCGCTTTTGATTAATAAAAAGATTGGGTATCCACTAAAAATTTGTTGCGGTCTTTTCTGATGAGAAAATATTTCTCACATAAAAACGAATATACCTATATTTTTAACATTGTATGCAGCTCAGTTTTCTAGGTCACTCGTAGAACTATCAAAAGCGTTATAAGCATATCTTCAATAAATTGTTGTAAGAGAATACTCTAAAAGAAGACTAGAAACTGATAATCATTTTGTTTTCTTTCTTTTTTAATTGGTTCAGTTCGGTTCGATTCCAAAAAAACACGAACCGATCCCATCACTGTACTCAAATACAACGATTATGCGGAGAGTGTGGATGTGAAGTGCGAGTATAAGTGTTCACTTAATCTACATTCCCCCACACCCTGAACATTATCAATATTTCAAACTTTCAGTTAGAGATTTTGGCTGCATGTAAGAACTGACAAATGCTGATCATAGACACCAACCTGACATCAATTCAACGTATTAGAATCGAGTTATACACCAAACACTATCGTTATCTTGCATTGATTGTATCTTAGTCATACAACCATTTTGGAGATTGAAAAACCAAACATTCAAACGCTTGAGTCTTCAGCTTTCTTCGGTAAAATTTGCATTAGAAAAGTCATTCGGGTTGCTGAGATATCAGCCTGTTAACGGGTATCGACCGAATCACAATTATGATGATTTTCATTTCTTAATAATGAAAATCAACTTTACATTAACCAATTCACTTGAAAATTTTTTCTCAACATCTTCGCGGATTCAGAAATTTTTTCTGAAAGTTTCAGTATTATAGTTTGTACTAAACTCGAAATACGACGATATAATATTCTCGTAACCGCATATCTCGCCAAACGTTTACATCTTAATGAATCCAGTTGTTCTTTCTACCTAGCATTATACACATTAGGAGCTATATGTATCACCAGAAAAATCTCCTATAAATTATTTAGATATGGAATAATATGATTTTTTTCTATATCAAATCTTATGCTTGCTGTTTGTAAATATTGTCCTTCGTATATATCTAATTTCACTAATATTCAAAAAAATACGGAACCATCCGGTTAATAGAAGAAATTTTCTGATATATACATATAGAGTATTGATAGATCGTTCAGTATTCACTCTTATAGTGATTCAGAGAAGTTGAATTGATATTAATAACGTTTGTGATACTCACAAATGTTGATTCTAAAACTAAATCTCTCACATTCAATCAAGATGATGAAAAATTGTAACTGAAAATATTTTCCTATTATCTCATGTTGTTATCTGTTCCATTTATCGGATGCAGAAAAAAATGATATTATTTCATATGTAGATGATTCATAGGAGATTTTTCTGGTGATACATATAGCTCCTGATGTGTACAATGCTGGGTAGAAAGAACAACTGAATTCATTGAGATATAAACGTTTGGTGAGATATGCGGTTACGAGAATATTATATCATCGTATTTCGAGTTTAGCACAGGCTATAATACTGAAACATTTAGAAAACATTCCTGAATCCATGAATATATTGAAAATGAAATTTCAAGTGAATCAGTCAATGTAAAGGTGATTTTCATTATCAGGATGTGGGTGTGGGTGTGGGTATGTGTAGGTGAGAGTATTCTATTCTGTCTTTTACCCACTCCTCAAGCCCACATCTACACCCACACCCACGCCCACACCCACACCCACACCCACACCCACACCCATACCCACACCCTCAAATGAAAGCTAGCCCGATCAGTCATCAAACTCATAGATAAAAAAGCTGATTTTCATACACAGTCAAATTGGATGTGCATGTGACATTCATTGACTATTTCAATCGACTTGGGCATAGGACCGGCAAGTGCTATAGGCTTAATTCTGTTATAAAACACTTTCATACACTTTGTCTCAGAGTTTGGCATAAAATAAATCAAGTCTTTTGAGGGAGCCGATTTCATCAGTTAACGACCCCCGTGCTTGTGGAAAATTTTTCNCATCTTTTATAGAATATTTTTTCTCTTTTTTTTCCAAAAAGGTGTGATAGTGCTAAAAGTCGGCATTGACTAACTTTCCATAGAAAGGGTATTAGAACCTGAAATTTTAGGGTTAGTAGTTTTAGCCATTGAAGTTTCAAATGAGCAAAAAAAATCGAAAAAAAAAATTTTATCGAGTGCCTTGTATATTGAAACGATGCTCAATCAGCTCATGGAAGCTCTCTTAAAGTTCGACCATTATTAAACATTATTAAAAATAATTTTAGAAAAATTCAAAAAGAAGAACATTTGTGTGTTGATGAACAAATTATACCTTTTAAAGGTAAAAGTATTATGAAACAACATATGCCACAGAAACCTAATCGGTGGGGTTCTAAAATGTTTTTATTAGCTGATAGCATTAGTGGAATTTGTTATGATTTTATTTTTTATACTGGGAAAACAAATGAACGTCAAAATGGATTTTGTACAGATATCGTGCTTAAACTCTCTGAAACAATACCAAAAATGATGAATTACAAATTATACTTTGATAACTATTTTACTACTATTCAACTTGAAGTTCAATTGAAGAAATTAGGTATTTTTTCTATTGGAACAATTCGATCCAACAGACTAACAGATATAAATATGAAAGATATTAAAAGTTTAAAACAAGAAGGTCGAGGATCCATCGATTATCGTATAACTCAAGTTGATGGCGTCGAATTATGTACAACACGTTGGTGTGACAATAATATTGTTACATGTTTATCAACTTTGTCTGGTTGTGAATCAATTGATATGGTGAAACGATGGTCTTCCTCACAGAAACAACATATTCAAGTAAAACGACCAAATGTTATTAAATTGTACAACGCCCATATGGGGGGTGTCGATCTACTCGACATGCTGGTCTCATTCTATCGAATTAATAATCGTTCAAAGAAATACTATATGAAAATCATTTTCCATCTAATTGATCTATCAGTTGTCAATGGCTGGTTATTGTATCGTCGTGATTGTTCTCAATTTAGGTTACCAAAAAATGAAATTCTTTCTCTATTACATTTTCGGGTGGAAATTGCTGAAGCTTTAATGAAATCCGTTGTACCTAAACGTTCAATTCAACGAGGTCGACCATCTTTACGTCTTCGATCAAAAGAAAATACTCCATCACCTCATCCTCGAGTTGCACCTATTCGAACTCCACCAGCTAGTATTCGACTCGATGGATTCAATCACTGGCCAACGTCAGCAACTAAAGGACGTTGTCGTCATCATAGATGCAACATTGTGTTCCATTCATTGAAAGATAAAAGTCTTTTTTGGTATTTTGACCCACTTCCGCCGGCTGTTGCCTTTTGGCAACATCGTGGTATTTAGTTATAAATCAATTCTTTGATCCTCAAATTTAAATATGATCATCCTCATGGTGAAACAAGAAAAAATATGTATCATAAGAATTTTTTTCTTAACGGCTTCTAGGAGCCGGCCGTAAAGGGTTAAGAAGAGTTTCGTTAAATTTCATACTATTCTGAATGCTTTTATAATTGAAATATAGCATCGTTACGGAATCACCAAAAATGGTGGACCTTGAGCTTGAGTGTTATGTAAAGAAATAAAATTTTTAGCTCAACTGTAGATGGTATCAAAAACCTTTCTATAAGAAAGTTATAGCTAAGATGACGAGCTATATATAGAAAAAAAGTAATTCAAAATATATCATAACTACGTAGTTCTTATAAAAAAGAAAAAAACGTTGTGACGGAATCACACTTTGAAAATTTTGATGATTCAATTAAAATTTATTTATTCAAAAGTTAGAGATAATCAATAAAGATACGCACGCAAGTATCATGTACAATACAATAATCAATAAAACTACTTTAAACAATACTNACTTGACTGTGAATAATTATGATATTGTGATGGCGTCATGACACGTAAAAGCAAACTGTCAACTGAGATCAGACCGATAAAACACGTAGGAACGTATTTTTTTTTATTTCAATGTCTCCATCATAAAATTGATATTTTTATTTACTTCTCTGATAGGAAACTACTATCTTGAGTATATTGCAGGGCTCGAAACGAGCCGCCCGGCCCGGCCCGATGAAATATTTTTGTCAGACTGGGCGTGCGGAGTTGCCAAGACCAGTGGGCCGAGGGGGCCATCCTTTTTGTCGGGCCAGGCCTGTTCGACACTTTTGTTGTTTTTTTTTCAACTTTTTAGTTAACTCTATGCTTATTTTAAGAACTAAAAACTATCGTGAATGCTTTATGATAGAAAAAGTATCTAAGCTTCAATCAAATGTATTGAAAAATAAATAAATGCCATTTTTGATGATGAAACGAACACTCATTTCTGTATATTTGCAAGCTCATTGATTAATGAGGTGATTGGCATCAATTAAAATCGATGATTCTGATTTAAAGTGATAGTCATAGCATTTCCTTCGTTAAAATGTTGCTTTTAGTTGATGAATCTAAAATACGTAAAAACTAATGTTCGTTTCATCACCCCCAATGCTGTGCCTCTCGTGTTGTTTTATATAAAACTCGCGACTCTTTTATTTTTGAAGTGTCTGGGAGGTATGACTAATATTATCAACTCGAATAATGTCTGAAACTAGTCGTATCGCTCTTTTGCTTACAAGATTCAATGTTGCTTAAACGGCATTAAGTAACGAGCGAAAACGATTGACAGAAAAATGTGCAGAAAATAAGCCGCCATCGAGAGTACGAGCTTTAGATAACACTTTATCTAATCCTTTAACTGTGACTAAGCAGTGAATACATAGAAAGTTTACTATTCTCTGGAAAAAAAGGTAATTCTATGGATTTTCTCCCATCTTCGATGGGAAATTGTTTGCACAATTTTGATGATGTTGTGAGTTAGAACACAGTAGATCATAGTCTATGGCCGAGTCGAAAAAGTTCTAAACGCCTAAGTTGGGAGGCTTATCTTCAAATTTTAGATATGAATAAATTTTTTCTTGTTCACAAATTACTTCTTACCACTAGCTAATTCATTGTATAGTCGAAATACAAAAAAATACTTTCAATGGAAAATGCGGCGACTCTTCCACGGGTTAATTCAATTAACAAATTGTACCATAGGATATCGTGCTATGTAGAATGAGAATTATGGAGCTCTAAAACTTTGAATATTTTTGTTTGTTCCACTGAACAAGCAATTCAACTTATTACCTAATGATTCTATTCTTGGTTCGAGAATCTAGGCTAATCAAACTCAAAATAACGCCAGGTATTAGCTTCCAAGTACATTGGGACTTACCGTAGTGATCAATACATTTTGTTGAGAAAACAAATCTATGTAAAAAGAATTTTGTTCGGGTCCGGGCCGGGCGGGCCGAGCCCAAACTTGAGTTAGGCCGTGCCATAAAAATGTGACCGTTTCGAGCCCTGGTATGTTGTAAAACTATTTTACGACTCATGGCAAAAAAAAAAGAAGAGCTATGCAATCACATAATTGGTTGAAAGTATTGACTAATACAGGCTATGTGAAATTAATTACACAATCGAAGGGAAGAAACAACAAGTCTACCAATGATACAAAGAAACATTAACTACGTTCTTAATCATCTCG